TTTTTTGTGACAGTTTAAGCGTCATCTTATTTTACGTTATTTCTGTTTGACCCAACCCTGCTCACATTGTCCCAGACTTACGGACCAGCTTCACCTGCGGCTGAGATGACTCGTCTCCTCTGCCCGCCTCCTTTCACTTCCTGCGGCCTTGCCTCGTGCACGAACATAATTCTGTTTGTTGTAGCGTTTTTCTGTCTGAATGTGGTTTCCTCTCTGAACCAGTGAAACAGGAAGTTTGTCCCCATTCGCTTTTTTTTTTGATTCATCAACGAAAAACACAAACTCTGTGAATCCTGTGGTGGGATTGTGTTTGTGCAGACACCTCAAATGACCATAGAGTCTAATGGGATTGGGTCCATAAATGGAAACGCAAAAAGGTTAAATGTCAGAGTTTCTGTGTGTCTGCAAAGTTGGGAAGAGTTCGACAAACAAACACAGATGTTAAAGAAGTTTGGTGTAAACCATTTTGACCTGTGACTGAATTTGTCAAAGGTTGTTGGGACACTATGTGAGATAGTGATACGTGAGGTTAAGCAGTGATAAACAGGAGAAGCTGTAAGTGTTCAAACACGTGTCAGATGGTGTTTACATCCCGTCAGGAGGAAGTTTCCCCCGCAGACGGAGCAGCCATCAGGGAAGTGAGATTGATAAATGAGATAAAACCAAACTTCCTGACAGTGATGATGATAATTGTGCTTCCATTGTGAGACCTCCACCACCCATGTTCAGGTTCACCAGTGTGTTAGACTGAACAGAGAGTGTTGGATTAATGGAAGACTGTATGTCATCTGTGTTTCAGTTTGTGTTTGATGATGACTGAAGATGGATTTTAAGTTTGCACAACAACTATTAAACTGAATTTACAGCAATAAACTAAAATAACTCAAAGAAAATAAAAACTGTGCAAATATGTAAAAAGTAAAACATCGACTTTGTAATTTAAAAACACAGTTAATTGTTACAGCGCCCTTACATCCTTGAATTTGGATTTGGTGATTGTTCTCATTGAGCACCCTTTGAAATGTGAAATGTTTTCACAGGAAATTTAAAGTTGACATAGAGTCTCTTTCAAAATAAATGCACTACGTCAGTGCAACAACGAGAACTGACGCTTTTCTTTCTCCAACAACTAACACGTGGTTAGGTCTAAGGGAAAAAAACAGGGTTTAGCTTTATAAACTTATGGGATGCGAAAGCTGCTCTGCGTTCGTTCTTGTCCCGCTGCGTTTCTCCCTGACGCAGCCGAGCACCTTTAAACTGTAACAGTGACTAGCCGCGTATCATGCTGTTGGCAAGTCACTGCCCAAGGGCCAGATTTTGACCATTTCGGAGTGAGACCAGGTTGGAAATGAACACGTTTACAGCCTGGTACAAAAACAGTTTTAATTTCTATAGCTAATTTAATTAAGTTACCCATTTATATTTCATTAAAGCTTACAGTTCAGCATGGCAGTTTGAGTGACAGTTTGTCTGCCAATGAAGTGCTTGGCTTCTCAGTCAGATCCACCCCTCGCTCCTCCAAAGTGCCGCCCTCTCCCACAAATATGGTCACTTCTGGCTCCAAAAAAACAAGATGGTGAACTGAACGAGGCTTCAAAACATCACTCCACAAACTAGTGGGTGATGTCACGCCCATTATGGCGTATATCCATTATGTTTACAGTCTGTGGTTATAATACAAGATGTTTAATTAAACTCTAAGGACCATAGAGGCTATACCTGCACACTAATGCAACTGGGCTGGACAGCCACAAAAATGTCCACAGGCTGAGATCAATGTGAAAATAGTCAATTTATTTAAGGGTTCCATGCACAAAAAGATCATTAGAGCTACTAGTCAACGACTGAAACATGAGCCGCTGTTTTTAATTCACTTTAATTATTTTGGCACTTTGAGCACCTTCTTTTTGTGCACAGATGTCTTAAATAACTGGACTATTTTCACGTTGATCTCAGCCTGCAGACCTTTGTTGTGGCTGTCCAGCTCAGTTGTATTTTTGTTGTATTCTTGTTTGTCTTTTGTACCAACGCACCCAAGACAAACTTTTTGTTGCCGTAAGTAGACCCAGTTTCACAGAAGCCCCAAATTTGTTAAAATTCTAAATTTTATTTGTCGTATAGTCCCAAAAATGTTACAATCCAAGGATTAAAATTCTTAATTTTATTCTTAGAATTCCCCTTTCTTTGTGTTTCAATTTCCAAAATTAGTTTAATCCCAAATTTAATTTGTTAAAATACCAAATTTCTGCCATCTGATAGAATCCCAGCACCCTGAAACTATGTCATATTTCCCAAATTTGTTTGTATGAGACCAAATATTGTGGTTTTGTGGTGGCTACAGTCATCTGGAAACTCCCCAGATTTTGTTTTTAATCAAAGATTTGTCATATTAAGCCCAAACATGTTTATTCATCTCAACAAAATCAGAGAGTTTATTAGTAAATGCACAAGTCACGATTTTGTTAAACTGAACACAGGTGACATTCTCAGCTCCTCTGGAGGTTGAGGGCTCAGCTCTGCTCTAAACAACGTGTTTTCTTTCTTCCTTAAATCTGGATCTCAGAGACTTTTTATTTTCCCACTCTGACCAAATGTATGAGGTGGTTGATCTATGTGTGTGTGTGTGTGTGTAGCTGCTCCTCGCTTTAGTGCCTTTATGGTTGTTCAGGAACATTTAACGTTTCGCGTGAAAACTTTAGTTCCGACTTTTGTTTTTAATTCTTTTCATTCTGTCCTGTCGTGTTGGCTTTTGCACTTTGTGACCGCGTCAATGTGGAAGAAACGACTCAAGTGTTTTAGTTTCCCACTGTTTGTTAATGACTGCCTTCATCCAAGTTAACAACATGTGAGTCACTGTAGCTCAAACATTGATGTTTGATAAATTCACAAGTGTGTTTTTAATCCACTGACTGTTGAGACTGCATGAGAAAAGATGTTTTGTCTGTTTGTCCCAAACCAAATCAATCTGTTTAGTTACAGTGACAGGTTTCATTGAATAAGTCGATTAATCATTTAAAACAGGTGTCATATTTTTCATTTTGGAATCAAACCCTTCGCATTTCTGTGTCGTGTCCTGAGGTGACACACATGTGGACATTAAAGGAGCTTTTATGCAGATTCACAGTATTTTTTTATTGTTATTCTTCAAAATGAGGATCTGTCTCTGTCTGATTGTTTGTGTGAAATTAACTGAAATAAAAAAGAAGATAAAATGATGCACCTGCTGGTCTTTTATTATCTTAACTCCTCTAAATAGATGGTACAAAGCTGACATAGTGTGCACTAAATATGAGCACGTGAGCAGCTCCAGTGGCAGATCATGTTTGAGGGTTTTTGACATCGTCCCTTCAGTGTTTACGTTTCTGCAGCAGCAGATGATGTGGTGTCACACAGGACGACCAGTTTTCCACTTCACCCTGCCAGAGCTGTCCGGCTGCAGCCGAGGAGACTCCAGCTGCTGGGCTGAACCTTAAAGACACTTCTCTTTCTTCTTCCTCTGTCGGGTGGTGTGTCAGCAACACTGAGAGCACGCAGGTTGTGGGTAAATGTCTGTGCATGTTTGATTGGTTAAGACTGAACCAAAGACACTTGCTGCCTCTGAGGACGAGGTGGAGTGGACAGTTAAAAGATGTTTTTTGAAATCTGATAAGATTTTTTGGTGAGTGTTAACCAAAGGAAGTTACGTACTTCAGTGTTTTTCCTGTGACTGTGAGAGCAGCTTGTTACCATGCTGAGTTCAAGGTCCACCTACTGATGTTTAAACCCTCTCACTGTTGCAGGATCAGACATTAATACTCTCTGTCTGCATGGAAAACTTTACACAATAAGCATTATTTTACTGCAGTATTTCAGGTCACAGCAGGTCAGTGTCAGCCTGTAGAGTTATACATTAATTATCTGTAACTCTGAAGAATATATGGAGTCAAGTTGTGAGGAGACATGTGGAAGAAGACACTGTGTACACCAAGTGTATGAGTCATATTTTCTCCTCCCTCCAGCGTCTCCTCTGAGTCTGAAATGACAGTAAAAGTCTCGACAGGTTAAAACTGAGGGTTTATTTAATTTGTTTATGTGTCACTTCAGATTTGGGTCAGATGGAAAGCTCAAAGGCCTCATTCACTGAGAGAACTGAAAGCTGCTGCTCCCCCCTGCTGGACGGCTGAGGACTCACACCTGAACTAAACTACAGATGTGTCATTAGGACTGGGCCCAGATGGCATCAGATTCTTTTACTGTAAAGAAGTTTTCGCATTTTTTGTACAAAAGAAAAGATGATGAATTGAGCTCATTTAAATGATTTAAATAGAGAGTTTTAGTGTCCTATGGTGGTGCAAATGTTGGTTCAAAATTTTTAATACTGACAAAAATAAAATAAAATATAGTGATAAAATAAAAGTTTGGTATTATTTGTCCTTTTTTTCTAGCAAGCTAGAATATTTGAAAATTTAAAGAATTTAAAAAATAATGATAATAATAATAATAAGGAGAAGTAAGAAAAATATATTTCTATTCCAATTTATAATCCAGTGTCAGCTTGTATATGTCTAAAAAAAATTAAAAAATAATATAATATAAAAATAATTCATGAATATTTCTTAAAATCCCTCTACAGTGAATGATGAAATGATTTTTACACTGGAGAAAACTGGTGTGTTTTTTTTTTTACTTAAAACAAAATCTATAGCCCAAATGTTATATTAATCTGAACACATCTACTTCATATCTGCAGAAAAGTTATTGAAGGGTAAACAGTTGTTCAAACTCCCCCTAAAAATAAAGTTAAATAAAACAAGATGAAATTAAAACAAAGTAATAGTATACGATACGATAATACGAGTATTATTTATTATAGGCTTTATATTATAAATGATATTGTATAGGTAATACCTTTTAACAACCCTTTGTGACTTTTTTAACAGCAGCGGAACCATTAACAGCGGAACCATATATTGAAGGAAAGTTCCCACCCGGCTATAAATATTGTCACACCGACCATTTCCTCCATGCTTGTTTTGAGCAGAAGTAGTGTGATGACATTTTTGGTGCTTTTCCCAACGTTTTTGATTTAATTTAATGTTAAAATAATTCTTAATATTTTCTAAGTGTTTTGTCCAAAATGGCGACGGACGTGTCCCAGTAGTCTACAGAGTTTACGGCTGTTTCTCCTTAATATTCGAACATTTCTACCGAGTAGGTAGGTTAAAAGTAACAACACGTTTCACACTAATTAACTAAACTGAACTAACTAAACAACACATAACATATTGATAATAACACAAAACACACAGACACAATTTTTGATGGAAACTGTGATTATGACCCGAATTTAGCTCCAATCTGTCAAAGGTGAAGAAGCTAACACCAAACTTCATTTACAAAAATGTATATTTTTTCTGTTTCTTCATTTAACGGCAAATACAAACATCACATTAAATACAACTTAAACCCTTATTAATAAATATGCAGCGTGGCTTAATTCGGCATAAGATACATCCACCACAAGACAAGCTATTACGGTGAAAGAGGGTGGAAATACTATCAATAATATCTACATATTATTGGAAATACTATACTATAACTGTCGTTTATTGTACTTACTGTATGCCGAATTGCAAAGTGGTTTCTAATGATTAAAAACACATTAAAAATGATACCTTAATGTGCACATAGCCGTGGCCAATAAGCAAGCATACATTAAAGAATCAACATTTTGATTTGAGTCTTGTCACAGAATGGGAGGTGACGTTTTCACTGTTTTTTTGTACATTATATTTTATATATCAGAAAATTTTTTTTTGCAAAGTAGGTTTTCGCATAAAAGGAATTTGCTTTGGTGCATCGGTAGGGGACATATAGAACTACAAAAATAAAATGAAAATGTTTAAGAAATACCACTAAAATAGATCAGGATGAACTTTATTGTTCCATAGAGTGGGACATTTGTCTTGAGCCCTGCACCCATACTGCAGCCATAGAAATACAACATACAACATAGTACATAGACAAATCAACATTATACCCAGTGTAGCAATAAGAAACACGAAAAGGTAGATAAATAAATAACATCTTATGCTAAAAAATGCAATTCAGCAACTCATCATAATCCAATGCCAGATCTGACTTTATCTGCTGTTGTTTAAAAACTTTACAAACAGAGGTATGAATGAATTTTTAAATCTGCTCAGTCTGTAACCAGGCGCTCTAAATCTCCTCCCAGAGGGCAGCAGCTCGTACTCTGTACACAGACCATGAGGGGAGTCATTGATGATCTTATCGGCTCGACTGAGAGTAACCTGTCCAAAAATAGACTGCATCGAAACGTGCTCTTTGACACCTATTATTTTCCACATAGTGTGGATCAGTTGAAACAGTTTGTTTTATTACTGCACAGAGAGGTGACCGAACCAAGCTGTGTGCCCGGCAGGAATGTGCAAAAATATATTCGAGGGGATGTGCAAAAGTTTTAAGACTACAAATATGGTGGGTGTTTTTTTCTGAGAGATTTCATGGAGTAGCTGTGGCTGCTGAGATGCAGCTCTAAATTTGTGTTTTTCTTCTTCCTGTCCAGTGTGGTTGAATCTCAATGCTGAGCTGCCATGGAGGGTTTGGAGGAGAAGCTCAAAGGTCTGTCCATCGCTCGGCGGTCTCGTCCAGAGGAACCCACCTACCTGCTGAACGTCGCCCTGCAGCCGGCCGCCCTGCTGGCTGTGTCCTGCTCCAACTTCACCGTCCACCTCCACAACAAGGACACCCTGAATATGGTGGGAGAGTATCAGGGCCACAGTGGGCCGATCTGTGGGGTTGTTTTCTCCCATACCTCCCCTGACCTCCTCTACTCTGGTTCTGCTGATGGGACGGTACGGGCGTGGGACGTCCGCCGTCCCGGGTCAGACGCAGCCCAGGTGTTTAAAAGCGACCCGTCACACAGCTACTGCAGCTTCGACCTGAGCTGCAGCGACACGCTGCTGTGTGCAGGCACCGAGCAGGTCAACGATGAAGACAGCTTCCTGGTTTTCTGGGACGTCAGGAAACCAGGTGGTGCGCTCCTCGGGGTGTATTCTGAGTCACACAGTGATGACATCACACAGGTGTGCTTCCACCCTCGAGACAAAGACCGCCTGGCGTCCAGCTCCACAGACGGCCTTGTTAATGTGTTTGACCTGAGCCGAGGAGCTGAGGAGGAGGCGCTGCTGGCCACCTGTAACAGCGACTCGTCTGCTGGCTCCGTCTGTTGGTCCGGAGCGGACTACACCCAGCTGCTGTGCCTCAGCCACGACGAGGGGCTGCACCTGTGGGATCTGGGTCAGCTGGACACAGATGAGCCCCTCACTGTTTTCAGCACCTCTGACGCTCGCAGCCTGACTGTGCTGGCTGATGGGGGAGGCGTAGATTACCTGGTCGGGGGGAGTTGGCTGGAGGAGGCCCAGAAGCTGCTGGTGGTCGGAGGGAAGAACAGCGGGGACCTCCACCTGATGGAGTGTGACGACAGGGGGCTTCGCCTGCTCAGGACCCTCAAGGACGGCCACACCTCCACTGTACGCTGCTTCCTCTGGGATGCGGCGGGGGAGGCTCTGGTCACCGGGGGTGAGGATGCTCAGCTGTTGCTATGGAAACCGGGAGGGGAGGAGCTCATGAAAGGGAAAAAGGAGTCCTTGAAGAGCGAATCAGCTTTGAGAGTCAAATCAAGACCACATAAAAAACACGGCTACCAGAGAGAAAAGAAGGCAGCGTAGCCAAGGATGGAAATGTCAAACACTGAGTCACACTAACTGGACTCTGGTGGCAGCTCACTCCTGTGCCAATGTTTTATTCCTGAGAGAAATCAAATTCAAACTTGATAAAGAACATTCTGCACTCAGGAAAAAGAATTCTTTGTGCTCGAAAAGCCACTAACTTTGGTGATTACACAAAAGGTCTGGTCACTTAACATTTCTGTCCTCTGAGTGTTCACTCAGATGGACAAATCCAAGTGTGTGTTTCCTGTTTCAGTGTGATCTCCAGCTGCTCCTGCTCCTTTGTTCAGCTTTGACCAGACGAATGTGCTCAAACACTGAAGCTCTGTGTCTGAAAATGAAGAAATTATCTGAGCATGCTTTATCACTATATTTAATACATTGTGTTTACAATCTGTGATCGTTCTCATCCATATTTATTTAATACCTGCATCAGATTGTGACATCACATCCTCTTAAAGGTCTAGTGTGCAGGATTTAGTGCCATCTAGTGGTGAGGTTGCAGAATGCAACCAATGCATACTTCTACCGTGTGCCAAGTGTGTAGGGCAGGCGTGTTAAACATACGACCAGGCCAGAACCAGCCCATCAAGGGGTCCAATTCAGCCCACTGGATGACCTTGCACACTTCATGGTGATACACTTGTGAAGGTTAAGAAGTGCCAGGTTTCAGGAGCAAGTTAAACAGCGAGTAGCTTTCATCCTGTAAATTGAAAATAAGTTTTACAACCCTGGTGTCGGGGAGAAACGGTGGCCAATGCGAAAAAGGCAAATGGCCCGTTCTAGAGCCAGTGTTTGGTTTGTCCTTTCTGGACCACTGTTGCCTCAGTCCAGACCTTCGAATCAGCCCACTCCATCAAGGTCAAGTTGAATAATTTGTGACATTGTGACATGAAACAACAACAACAATTGAAATGAAACAACAATTGTGAGTGCTTTTAACATCATAGACACTGCACAGTTGTCTTGGTGCTCTTTCAGCATGTGTGGCACCTTGGTGAAGAGCACCAAGACAACTGTCCCTTGCCTACAGTCAAGTATAGTGGTGGCAGCATCATGGTTTGGGGCTGCATGAGTGCTGCCTGCTCTGGGGAGCTCGGTTCATTTAGGGAAACATGAATTCCAAGCAGAGCATGATCGCTCCTCTTCAGAAACTGAGCCGCAATGCAGTTTTCCAACATGATAATGACCCAAAACACACCTAGTAGATGACAACAGCCTTGCTGAGGAAGCTGAAGGTGAAGGTGATGGACTGGCCAAGTATGTATCCAGCCCTAAACTCACCTGTGCACCTGTGGGCCATCCTCAAGCTGAAGGTGGAGGAGCACAAGGTGTCTTCACATCCATCTGCTCCATGATGTCATCATGGAGGAGTGGGAGAGGATTCCTGAAGCAACCTGTGAGCTCTGGTGAATTCCATGCCCAAAAGGGTTAAGGCAGTGCTGGATAATAATGGTTGGCACACAAAATATTGACACTTTAGGCACAATTTGGACATGTTCACTGTGGGGTGTACTCACTTATGTTGCCAGCTGTTTAGATGTTGATGGTTTTGAGTAATTTTCAGAGGAAGGTAAATCTATGCTACTATACAAGCTGTACACTGACTACTTTAAGTTATATCAAAGTGTCATTTCTATAGTGTTGTCCCATGAAAAGATATAATAACATATTTGCAAAAATGGGAGGGGTGTACTCACTTATGTGAGATACTGTACATGTATAATATGATGTTAATTCCACTACAGAAGAGACTTGATGATCACTAAAATTAGGTAGGGAAAAAGGTAGATATATTGATATTGGTATTTATTATCGGTCAAATGAGTTGTTTGGTATCTGCATATTGGATACCAGCAAAAAATCCATCACCTTGCATCCCTGCTTCGCTCCACTCCACTCTCAAAATCAAGTAGTCAAAACAGGTATGCTGGCATAGCCGCGCATCAGTGTGAGCTTAAAATGATGTTAGATTTAGATGGATATGTTGGTCTGTAATGACTGGTTAGGGAAAATCGAATCCCTGTCCCTCACGAGATCGGAAAGAGTGGACACAATGTCACACTGAATTTGGAAACAGTGTCTAGCGAGTGGACACTTCTGTCTGATATCAGGCAAAGGCTACTGTAGAAACAAGACGGCAGACTCCACAGAAGAGGACCTGCATTTTATGTATATAAATGTCTCATTCTGAGGTAACGATAACACAAATTTTAGTTTCAGGTGTTTGTAGGCCAATGAAAACATAAGCATCATAAACATTTCTGCACCCTAAATCCTGCACACTTGACTTTTAAGGGGTAAATTTTGCTTGACAGAATCATAATGTGACCGCACCTTCACACCTGGTCTTAACATTTGATCTGTATACATTATGTTCATACTGACATCTGATCCTCTGACCTTTGTTTTCACACCTGGTATTAATAAGTGATCCTGTTATCTTGATTCTGCCCGTACTATGATCAGATCCAGGTAGAGCTGGTGAAAGGAGAGCAATGGGGGGTGCTACGACATGCAAGGTTAGGGTCAAGTTACAGAAGGTGACAGGTAATTGCAAACTGAGAAGTAGCCCACCTTTAGGTGTGGTCTGACCCATTCAGTCACACTCTCACTGCAGTGCAATCTGCATGCATTAAAGGGTTACTGTGGTGTTTTCAACTTGGAGTCTATTTTCACATTTTTGGGTGTAAGTGACTAATGAAAACAATAATTCTTGTGAAAGTGGTTCTGTATTGAGCAAACAGTCAGCAGTGGCAAAACAGGCTGCGCTGTAACCACTGGGGGCATTTGAGCACCATCAGTTTACGTCCTATGTAACGTTACATTACATTACAAAATATATAGTTGGTGAATAGGGTGTAATGATACATCGATCTGGATCAATATATCAATTCAAGGATTTAAAACAAGGATTTAAAAGAATGGCGTACTACTTAAATTGATGGTGCACAAATGCCCCCAGTGGTTGTACTTGTTTTTGCTATGGACAGGCTCAGATTGTTACCATAAGGGGCTGTGCACATGCCGCGTTTTTAACCACCTGGAAAATGCAAGGTCAGGTGCGGGGAGCTACTTTTATGAGCAAACTTTCAGGAGCGCGGTGGCAAGTTGCGTCTGAGGTTGGGAACACGTGTGTGCCTTTGAGTGTGCCTGCATTGAAAACAATGAATTTGAGCGTGCAAAAAACGTGGCATGTGCACAGCCCCTAAGTGTCCAACAATTTAAGCAAAGGATTCCTACAGAGATAGACCCTTTTTTTTTAGAGAGTATGGTCATTTTTGTTTAGCCAGAAACAGCCTGAAATTGCTGTTGTGGAAACAACCAGACTTCATTTAAAAATACAGTAATTTTAGCGTGTACAGAGGCAGCATATTTTAATATTTAACTAAGTGAAATGATTGTTTATTTCAACCGAACCAGAGTTGATGATTGTTGGAACAGTGGAAAGACAAACCAAAATAGTTTTTGTGGGTTTTATTTTGTTTCTGTTGGCTGTAAAATGAAGTGTGTTTAACGATGACAAAATTACTGTTTATTTAAATGGAGTCTGGCTGGTTTGACCATAGCTATCTTGGCTGTTTGTGATTAAACAAAAAGGATCTTACTCTTTGACAAAAAGGTCTTTTTCTGTAGGGATCCTGTCTAGAATGTTGTCAGACATTTAATATAACAATCTGAGCCTGTCAGTGGCAAAAACAGACACTTTTAAAGGGATGTAAATTTAAACTGATGACGTACAATTGCCCTTAGAGATTACATTGCAGCTGGTTTTGCTGCTATCGGATACAGCAGTCTCTCTCAATACAGGACCAGTGTCAAAAACTGATGTTCCTATCAGTCATCTAGACACCGAAACATGGGAAAAAAGGGTCTGAGTTGAAAAATACTCAAGTCACCCTTTAACATCTTCATTAACCTGTTTATTTAATCCAGATTAGATATCCAGATACAAACTGAATGTTAATACAAGGTGGAAGCGGGATCTTGTGTCTCAACAACATGCTACATACCAGATCTGAGCAGGTTTTGTGTGTGAAGTATGTTCACGCTGGAAAAGTGACAAAACTCGCCAAAACTTAAAAACTTAAATTCCGTTGATTTTTGAGTCAAGTGTTGATGGAATAGTTTTTCCGTCAATGAGAGGCACAAAGGAAACAGAAGAAGCACTCAGAGCAGCTCCAGGAGGATCTCACAAAACCAACCAAACAAACAAAATCATTAAATATTTGTCAAAAGATTTTGTTTGTTTCTCTTTGTGAAGTTTAATTGCCTGTGGTTCTGCAAAGTTTGATCGACAACCGTCGGTGCACGTCTTGCGTAACTTTACTGTCACGACAAAACAGTGACGTACATTGATTTCTAACTGACAAAACAATTTACTGTGAATCTTAGCATGCAGCTGAGACACAAATGAGGTTTCTCTGTTTTTTTTAAATTAAGATTTTTACCAAGTTATCAAACTGTCCACCATTGTGACATTTAGTCGTTATAATATTCCTCCTTTAAAGCTGCTGCAGGACGACTGTAATTACTGCATCACATCCTGAAAGTCACCTGAGCCTCTCGGCACAGCAGGATCGCGCTGAGAGCAGCTTTCACTCTCAAATAGCAAAGAGTGGAATAACATGATTGGCAGTGCGAGTGTGCGTCTGTGTTTCTGAGCGTGACTGCAGAGAAATCCTGCAGAGATCGAGGCTGTTACTGCAAAATCACATGAGAGACATTAAAGGTTCTCTGTGGTGATTCAGTGATCTTTGTACGGGGGCTTTTATTTATTGAGCACCTTGTTATAATGAAAGGAAACACATATTTGTGAGGTGAGCAGACAGGCTGAGTCATTAAATTATTAAACGCAGATGAACTGAAGAGATTCATTCTGGAAAAGATGAAGTGTTACATGAAGACAAAGTGCATTTGTAGAGCAGTTGTAGTAAAACCACTGGTGCAAATCAGGTTCATGTTTTTAGGTTTTTCAAAGCAGTTCATTGTTTTTTTTCTTAATGATACCTTTCACTTGACTAATTTGACGGTTACATGTTTTAATAAGATTATTGAAAAGTCTGTTAACTTGTACAAACAGGAACTACATCTGCTTTTTAACGTTGATACTGAAAGTATATTATCCATTTTGAGTATATGGTCTTTAATGTGTGTTAAATAGGCTATTTATAAGATGGATTTATTTCCCAAAATAAATTATACATTTGAACCCTTTTCATCTCATGGCTTTTGCTTTTTGGAAGTGAATAGAAATGTTTAAAAAGTAGTCATATTTTTCCAAAGATTTACATTGTTTGTCAGGTCGAGCTGTAACGCCACCAGAATTAAGAGGAGAGTCTGTTATTTAAAAGCAGCTGTTATTTTTTAACAGGTTATTCAGGTGCTGTTCTTGTACTTCTTTATTACATGAATAATTTAGTTTCACAAAAAAGAGACATATTGTACTTTTTACACCTCTCCAGTTATTTGGCATCTACTCTAGTATAATTACTTTTCACATTTAGATTTAAAAAGCCTTTATGTATGAGCTATTACGTATTAGTTACAACCTTCTACTATTAGTTAGCCCACATCTCCAACTGTTTAGTTATTAAATGTCCCCTGTGACTGTTTTACTATTATGTATGATATCATTAGATCATTATTCCTCTTGTATTCATGTTAAAAGTAGGATCTCACTGTTAAGTAGGTTTTATTTGGCTCATTTTTAAACTAAGAAAAGCAGCAAATCTTTTACATTTGTCAAGCTGAAAACGTGAAAAACGACTTCAACCGCCAAAATAGTTGCTAATTAATTTTATGTCGATGAAGTAACTGATTAATCGACTAATCGCTCCAGCGGTACTTGTTTAAACTCTTGGGAAGCTTGAATTATAACAAAATATCATACTTTATAAACTCTCCTTCTGTTTTGTTCACAGAAATCTTAATTTGAAAAGTAACTAAAGCTGTCAGAGAAATGCAGTGAAGTGAAAATGTACAGTATCTCCCTCTGAGATGTAATAAAGTTTGCATTAAAGAAGAGACTCAAGGGAAGAACGAGTACATCAGATGTGTATTGCAGTAAAGTTCTTGTTGCATTCCACCACTGGTGTAGGGAACATGTTGTTCACTCCGCCTACATGTACGCCCATGGACGTGCGCCAGCATTAGCTATATTTATACTTCTTTACTTTTACTTCTTATGTAACTTTTATAGATCAGGACTTTTACTAGTAATTGAGTATTTTTTTTAACTTTTACATAAGTATTCTCCATTGTAAGTGCAGTAGCCTACTACATTGTACACACTTGAGCAAATAGTAATATAGCAGAGCTAGGCAGTATGTCTATTGTATCAATATCATGATATAAGACTAGATACGGTCTTAGATTTTAAAAATCGCAAGTGTTGTCTTTTCTTGTTTTTAACGTACTATAATTTTCTAAGCTTATGAGACTGTTCAAGTTGTTCTATTATTTGCCTTTACGGGCTTATTACAGGCGATATCACCTCTGCATCACTGATAATTATTAATCAAAAATCCTGTTGTGTAAATATTATGTGAAAGCACCAATAGTCAACCCTACATTATTGTCACACTATGAATGTTGAGTTATTCGCCAAAAACTTTTTCTCCATATCACGGCAGCCCTGTTTTGTTGTTGTTTTTTCTGCCAGTCTTTTTCGAGCAAGGCTGCAAAATGGGAATGCAGAAACTTTTCTTTACATTTATGAACAAAAAGGTTTTATTTTTTTAACAATTAGGAAAAAAGTAGGAATCTGCAGATAGTCAAAACTGAGCCATCCTTCAACCCCCTACATGTACACCCATGAACATGCCCCTGCATAGCTATATTTATACTTCTGTACTTTTACTTCTTAAAGGGAAATTTCGGTTTATTTCAACCTGTCTCCTATCGTCCTAAATTTGTTTCAAGTGACTAGTGACATAGAAATAATAGTTAGCATGTTAGCCGTTAGCCTAGATACAGCCGGGGTGCATAGTAGCGTCAGACCTGTTAAAACGTAAGTGAAAGGGCAACCTTCAAGTGCAAAGTTACCCACTAAACAAGCTTTTTTTCCACAAAGACCTCCTCATATCGTTAGGATAAATGTCAGAGAACATATAGAAAACGACATGTAAACGTGTTGTCTTACCTTACCGGTGTGCTGCCATGTTTGTTTACCATTTAGCTCTGCTTTTCAAAGCGCGGCCGAAATATATCTCGCAAGCTCTAGATAAAGCCCAGCTGGATACTACTCCAGGTGGAGGTGTCTTGTCCTCGGTCACATCCAGACCTTGAAAATAAGGCTGCAACCGGTCCCATTCCTTGCAACAGAGGCATTCCTCTTCTGTGGGCACTGTGGCACAGCATTCACAGGTACACCACCAATCTCCAGAGCTACGCAGCCTTGCAGCAGCCATTCCTCCTCTCTCGTCCTCTACCTGTTGCACCTCTCTCTCTCTCTCTCCTCCTCTGTTCTTCAATTTCACGAAGCTCTTCGTCAGTGTATTCTGGCTCAAATAAATAAGGGCGGCCATCTAACTCTGCAAAATCAAATTCCTCCTCCACAAAGTCGAAGTCTGGCAAAAAGTCAGCCATTATTCTATAAATCTTTCATAAAATAAATGAATGAACTTTTCAGGCTACTGTCCGGTTCTGCCTTCCAGCTGTTGCTGCTTGTTCAGGCACGCTATGAGATCGCTGCTTGTTCTCGCGATATATTTCGGCCGCGCTTTGGAAAGCAGAGCTAAATGGTAATCAAACATGGCATCATACCGGTAAGGTAAGACAACACGTTTACATGTCGTTTTCTATATGTTCTCTGACATTTATCCTAACGATATGAGGCGGTCTTTGTGGAAAAAAAGCTTGTTTAGTGGACTAACTTTGCACTTGAAGGTTGCCCGTTCACTTACGTTTTAACAGGTCTGACGCTACTATGCGCTCCGGCTGTATCTAGGCTAACGGCTAATATGCTAACTATTATTTTTATGTCACTAGTTACTTGAAACAAATTTAGGACGATAGGAGACAGGTTGAAATAAACCGAAATTTCCCTTTAAGTAACATTTATAGGCTAGATCAGGACTTTTACTTGTAATTGAGTAATTTTCTATTTTGACTTGAATATACTTATACTTACAGTACATACTTCCTCCACCAATATGTATATATGTAATATATTAATATCATGCTATAGATTTTGGATATCGTAAGAGTTGTCTTTTTTTGGTTTTAAAAGTGTTTAAAAATTGTTCGTTTACCCACTTATTATATATTATATCCACATCACTGATAATTATTTATCAAATATCTTATTATCAAAATATTATATAGTCAACTCTAGATTATTGTTGCAATATTGAGGTTTTAAGTAAAAACTAGAAAATACATTTCCTGCAGAAAATACGTGTGTATGCTGAATGAACTGAAAATAATGGCTGATAATGCAGATATAGTAGTAATAGCAGATCTAGTTGTAGTTGTAGTAGCAGCAGTACTTGCAATAGTTGAAGTAGTAGTAGTTAGAATAACAGTAGTAGAAGTAGTAATAGCAGTAGTTCATACTTCAAGAAGCATAAAAAGTAGAAAAAACTAAAGTATAAATGTCCTTAAATAGCTGAATGTTTTGACATTTGAATAGTTTCTGTAGCTGGAAGTATGCAGAGGTAGTGATTATCAAAAGATGCAAAGGAGAGGTAGTTGTAGTAGTATAGTAAAGTAGTAGTATAGTTTATCTATAGTCAAGCCAAACCTTATTATTATTATTATTATTATTATTATTAGAAAATATATTGGGATATTTAATTTTCTTTGTATTGTGCAGCCCTATTAAAAGTATATTATTGTGTTTGTTTTTGTTTGCCGGTCTGTTTCTAGCAAGGCTGCAAAGTTGGAACATAGAAACTTTTCTTAACATTTATGAGCAAAAAAAGATTTAATTTTTTATTATTCAGAAAAAAATGTATTTGCAGACAGCCAGGACAGAGCCACCTTCACACCCCCTACATGCACGCCCATGTCCGGTGCTCTGGCATTAGCACTACATTCATAGTAGACCTATATATGATAGTTATGTAACTCTCTTCCTGCTCACATATCCCTCTCTAATCTCCAGGTTTGCACAGAAATCCACTCTCCCCTCACACCGCTGCTGCAGCCGGCTGAAAGCGTAATATCTGCACAGTAAAGCTGGGTCAAGTGTGCCGTCAAAGTACGGGTAAAGAAGTGCAGAGGCGAAGGGCTGGGCCTCGGACAGGTTTAGCCTCATTCCTGCAGCACGCTGTGTGGCGGACACTCCGCACACACACTTTGCTTTCTGCCCCGATCTCTTCCCTTGTCCCTGCTCGTCCACCTACCCCACGGATCCAGAGCCTCATTTCCCTCTGCACCGTGACTGACAGCGCGTCTCGTCCAATCACAGAGCGCGACAGTGCTCCCGGCGGCCAATCAGCGTCGTACGTTCGCTGTCGACCGCGTCAAGCACGCTTCTGTGCGTCTCTGTTATGTGTGCCATGGTCTCAACCCAGCAGTGTTGACAATAGGGTGAAAAAGAAACAGCCCCGAATTATAAACGAGCTAAGGAAAACACCAAAATCCAGGGGTTTGGGGAAGACAAGCAATTGAATCAGTAACAGGAATGTAATTGCGTTAATCTAATCGTTTTATATAGCCGTATTTTGTTATTAATGGGAGTTTGAGGATTATTCCGTTGGAAGGAAAAAGGTACTCGTGGGTTTGGCTGTTTCAGGCCAGATTTTCCTGCTGTTTTGCCGCTGCTTTGGAAAGGCTGTTTGCACCGAGCTGGAGGTAGCCTAACAGTTAGCCCGGTAGATTTCCCAAAACATAGGATAACTCCTCCGCCGTCTCCGTTGCGAACCACAGAGGATCAAGGTAAAGTACTACGATTGGAGAGCTTACAGCCAACTCGGTCGGCTGCAGCTTGTCGGGCTCGGGGGTCGGGACTCGGGACGGTGTGTGTTTCCCAACCCAAGTCGGTCTGTCAGTCTGTGAGCGCTAGCTAACGGTAGCAGCATTAGCACTGCCCCCCTGTATTTACATCTGGGATGATGGGTGATCGCCCAAGTCCGCCCAGGTAACGTTACTTTATCAGCACACACATAGATTTAAGAATTGATCTATTCAATGTTTTCATATGCACTGGGAGCTAGCTGCTGGTGGCTAATATGCTAATGCTACATGTAAGCTAACCCGCGATAGCCGTAGCACTAACGTTAGCTAGCTACCTAAAATGCCGTTTTCTGAAATAAAATGGGCAGCTATGTTGAAATGCTGCATTGTCTCAATGTTAGTGATGTATAATTGTTTTGTGTAGTGAGAGGAGACTTCTAACTAACGGTGTAAGCGTTGAAATCAAACGCTTTGTAACGGTTAATCGGGAAGCTACCGTTGCTAGCTAGCTAGCTAACGTTAGTGAGGCTATCGCGCTGTCAAGTTTTGAATATTATGCTGCTGCCAGGCCCAACATGGCCAAGCTAACGCCAGCTCTCCTAAACGGCTTGATTTTTGACCTCATGCAGCTCATGGCCTACTTTGCTGCTCTGGTTGATAACAGTAAATAAGTAACATGAAATTACACTGTAAATTGATATAATCTTTATTATGTCATTTGGCTTAGGTGGTGGCTTAGAGGCTGATCTTTCCAGGGCAGAGCTGATGTCAGGAAAGCATTCGGCCATGGGCAGGTTTACTTAAAAGTAAAATGCTGATGTTTAATCCTACATGGGTTGAAAAAAGCCCTGTGAATCTGGCCTGGGACAAGTTTAGCTTTCCTGTCAAGTGAAACCAACTGTCAAATGTGTGGTGATAATACGACATGAACTCTGACTGGCTTTGCACCAAGATACTGTGTCTGGCAAAGTCTAAATATGCCACAGGTCTGTCATGTTTGCTTGTAATGGACAACATTGTTTCGACATGTTGTGTTGTAGTGTGTGTTTACAACCAGGCAGAGAGAGATCATCGCCACTAATGACACTGTAGTGACATGGATGATGAGAGGTAGAAACATAGTGATGATGAGTGAGAGATACAGAAAGATAAAGATGAGGGGTGATGACCGGTGGTGAAAGAGGTACTTAGATCTTTTACACGAGTAAAAATAGCAATACTACAGTGTAGCACTACTCTATTACAACTAAAAGCCATGCATTCAAAATCATAAGTAAAAGTACTTAAAGTATCAACATGGAAATATACTCATTATGCAGAATGTCTCATTACAAGATCAAATATAATTGGATTATAATTGATGCACTGATGTTTGGTTCACGTTAATGGCAAAGATAGTAAAAGTGCTGCTAATTTTAACCACTTTATAAACTGCTAGCTTGTGGATTTCCCCCGTATCTCATCTTAATCTGTAATAATGCATTATAGTTTGGATTATTAATCTAAATTTGCAAAGTAACTACAGTTTTAATCAGGGTTGGAAGTTAATTTTTTGGCCATCTGCCACTCTGGCTCGTGAATCCCAGTATCTACCAGCCACTCAGTAGATTACCATTGCTCTCTTGTCTGGTGAGTAAAGCAGTTCTAGCAGCCACTTGCATTATGCAGCATATTTTGCCAGCATTTAGCTGGTGGCTGGTGCTTATTTCCAACCCCAGTAGTAAATAAAGTTATAGAATAAATGTAGTGGAGTAAGAAGTGTAATATTTGCCGAAGTATAAAGTAGCAGAAAATGGAAATACTCGCTAAAAGCACCCTTGAAATTGTTCCTAAGTACAGTACTTGAGCAAAGGTATGTAGTTACTTTCCAGTACTGATGTTTTTTTTTTATTTCCACCGAGCCTCTGCCATGTCAGTGATGTGTGAATGACAGGAGCATGCCAGAGGCCAGGTGTGGTGTTATGCGTTATATGTGATGGTATTTGCAGTGCATGTGTGTGTTTGTGTAGGTGTACTCCTGGTTTTGGTACTGTCACGCTGGTTCACCTTCAAGGTTTTTGAATGTCACACCACGTTGAGGGCAGGTCCAGCTGCTGCTGAGATAGCTCAACATCCAAAGTCTCCTGTGTTTATGATGACGCTGGTGTAGTAACTGCCTCTGTCTTATCAGCCCTGTATGGCTTTGTGTGTGTGTGTGTGTGTGTGTGTTTGAAAGTTGCTGAGTTCATTTGTTCTTGACTGTGTGAACAGTGCAATTATCCTGTGAATGAATCATACCAATTAGACGTGCTGTCAGATTGCCGCATTCAGTCAATAATGGCAACAGGAGACTTTCTGAAGAAGTGAGTAGCAGAAGGATTTGAAATGCTACAGCCGGGATTCATACTGATGTAATTAGTGTTGGGACCACTTATCCATTTATCAGTAACCCTAGGATATTAATATATAAAATAACCTGTACTCTTTGTTATGCATAAATAATTTGCAGCTGTGATAAGCATGAAACTTGATTGGTAATGGCTGCAAAGTTGAAGGACTTTATGGCTTAAACTTAATACATTGCTCTAAGGACATTTTTTGTGTTGGTTGTGAATGATGCTTTAGAGGTTCCCTTTGTAATTGCAGATACTGAATATTAATCTGTTGAGTGTGTGCACAGTTTTCAGAGCTGAAACAGTAAGACGATTAGTCAACTGACAAAAAACCCTGCTCAAAATTTATTATTTTTCTGTTTTGTTCTTTGTCTTCAGTGAGAACAAACTGAATATTTTTGAGATTCAAACTGTTGGATGGACAAAACATGACATTTGAAGGCATCACCAAGGGTCCTGGCAAATTTTAAAGATCAAACAATTACTCAGTCAACAAATAGTCTGTAGAATAATTGATATTAAGAACATTCCTTTGTTGCTTTTCAAGTAATATAAAAAAAAAAACCCTGTCCTGCTTATTATGCACATGGCCACAACGTTTCAAGCCCTTCATATATATTTTTAAGAACATTTTTTGTCACTATAAATAATGTTTCGTAACCCCCTTTTGCAAATTTCTTTGGGTTTTGGATTGTTGGAGGGACAAAACAAGACATTTAAGATAGGGCTGAGCAATGGAGAAAATTATATCACAACATTTTTGACCCAAGACTTTGATATTGGTATTGCAGTGATATTGTAGGGCTGACTGTTAGTGCTTACGTAAAATATTTACTGGTAGGCTACACAATAATTTTTTGATAAATAATCATCAGTAACATATGGATAGAAGATTAAGTGGGTAAAGTCAATTAATAGAAAGGTGAGAACAGTCTGGTGAGTTCAGAAAATCATATCACTTTACTGTAATGTAGCCTTCAAAACCAGGAAGAGACAACACTTATTTTATTAGAATATCCAAAATCAAAGACGATGTTTAGTAGGGCTGGGTATCTGTATTAGATACCTTTAAGGTATCGACCAAAATAACCCAGTACCAGGTAGTATAGAAACGTCTCCAGTCAAACGATACCCACATTTGATCCTTTTTGTGCAGTGTGTATGATCCCGGACCGTCCTGAGTCCCTCCCGGATCAGCAGACTTATGGCTGACATCCAACAGCAAGACGTTAAACGGTCCCAACGAACTCACACAGACACCAAAGTGGCTTAACTGTGTTGTAAAACCTGTTAATAACCATTAGGTAATGTTGGCAGTGTGATACTAACAGTAAACTTTATCACTGTACCTGTGGCCAGGCGGACTCTCACAACTGTCCTTGGGGTGGAGTCTACAGTACAGTGTATTTGATGGAATTGGCAGTTCTGTGTGCCGAGATGCCACCAAAACATTCAAAAGTATAGGTATACACTACACGCTACTCACATTGAAGATATTCAGTTAAGTACTCTTTTGGTATTGGTATCACTTTAAGGGTACTGGTATCAGAATTTTTCTAGGGCTGCCCCCGACTAAGAATTTTCCTAGTCGACCATTAGTCGTCATTTAGTTCCATTTGTCGACTAGTCTCCTGCATGTTTTTTATATTAATGTAATGATTAAATGATATATTTTGGTGGTTTGAGTTGAAGGTGTGAGAAAGAATAGTATCAGTAACATTGTTAACACTGTGCTACATTACAGAGAAATATAAAACCATCCTAATGAACCTTCATTAATATAGGCCTATATTTTATCTACAAGTGCACGTCACACACTGAGCGAGCCGCCTGTTAATGACGCTGTGGGCTAATGGGCATGTAGCTACTTCCATGTTTCAGATGATACGTCATGTTTGTAGTCGACCAATGAAGATGAGTTTACATATCACCTTGGGTTCGTCCTTCACCTTCTCAAAATGATCCCACACTTTGGTTTTTTTCTGCCCGATTTTATTAACTAGTCTGTGGAATAACCGCTGGAAATTAATGTTAGTCGACTAATGTTTAGTCTGTTGAGTTAAAGGTTGCATTTTGTATTTTTCTGAACGGGTCTCACTGTTGTAGTTGAGTGAAATCAGGAGTGAATGCCTCTACCTGCTTTTTCATCACTAAATTAGTGTCCATAGAAAGCCCACGTGAATTTAGATGAAGTGTTGCAGCAAAGCAGCTAATTCATACCCACAGTTTGTTTGGTTTTTGCAGCTCATGGGGCTTTTGAATTTTAACTTTGGACCACAGGCGAGATCCTTGAGCATTCCTCCTGCCAGCCTCCTTTTTATCTCTCGTGTGTGTTCCTGTACGTGTTTGTTCCCTCGCTTCAGCTCCTTTCGCTCTGCCTTGCCGTTGCCTATTTGTTGACTTCCTGTCGAACAGCAGCTCCCTCCCTCCCTCCTCTTCCTCTCTTTCTGTCGCTCTCCCTGTTGTTCGCTGTGCCCCCTCCTCTCTCCTTCCTCCTTGTTCTTTAATCCCACCCTCCCCGAGCCTGTTTGGATGTCATCTGGTCTCTTATGTAAGAGGCATGGGAGGGGGAATGGCTTTGGTGCTTGGTTGCCATACGCCTGGCCAGCCGCCGTAGTCTGCCTCCCTCGTGTGTTGTGGTGGCACTGGAGTGTTTTCGCCATTAGCCGGCTAGTCACAGAGAGAGAGAGAGAGAGAGAAAGAGACAGTGAGGGACTGATGGTTGTACATGGGGATTCCAGTGCCCCTTTGCACAGGTAAGTGGAGCTCCAGTTGTATGTTTCATAGGTTTTTCTGAGGGATTGTAGTTTTGTCCACTGGTGGCATTCACCAGGTGGCGAAAGCATAAAAGCATTGGCAGCTCTTTGATTATTCATTGTTGCCGTTGGTGATGTAGCTGGCAGAGACTGAGAGTTGCTTACTGATCGAGATGTACAACTTCGCCGATGCATCCTGAAATGCAGCAGACACAGTGTGTTTGATCAGGGCTGAGTGAAGCTGACTGGCTGTATTAAGTCATCCTTGCAGAGATCCAAAGTCTTATTAGGATGCAGTGCGTATGTGAGGGTAGTATTTTAAAAAGTGCTGGCTTAGTTTAAAGTGGTTTTATTTCTGTAGCCCCAAATCACAGACTCAGAGGGCCGTAAAAGCTGTGCAGCATGCAACACTAACTATTATTTTCATTATCAATTAATTGCATTGTTAATAAAATTTGCGTTCAAGGTAACATCTTCAAATATTTTGTTATGTATGTCCAACAGTCCAAAAGATATTGAGTATACAATGATATAAAACAGAAAAGCAGCAGATCTTCATATAAGAGAAGCTGCAACCAGAGAAAGGGTGGTGTTATTTCTTATAAAAAATGCCTAAAACAATATTTTATTATTATTTAAATAGTTCAATTTTCTGTCCATCAACTAATCAATTAACAAACTAACTGTTTCAGCTCTCTGTTACACCCTGTAGTCCTTCACCCTCAGTTTGGATGAGGAAAACTCCCTCAGAAAACTCGCCTTTAGCGTGTGAGCGAAACATTTTTGGACATTTAATGGCAGCTGCTGCTCCACACCGTCATCACAACTCCACAAATAGCAGATTTAACTATTTGCAGGTATAAAAACCTGATTGCCTAAAGGTGTCAAAGAGTGTGTACGTCAAAGCTTTTGGCACGATAAGCCATTAGCCGGAGATAATCTCAGAGTGAAGGTGAATTTCAGAGGCTGTGTCCTGCTTTGTCTGGTCTTTGCGTGGCTCCATAGCACACACACACACACACACACACAGAGGCGTTGAGGTGTCAATTTGCACTTTTTTTGTTGTGTTTTCACTGAGGCTTGAGATAGTGTCAGGACCCACTTTTGTGTGACATTTGAATAGTCCTGTGCCAAAATTTGAAAGGCAAAACTGTCAACCAGGGAAGCAAATTTCTTTTTTTTCCCCATGTACAGTATAGTCTGTAGCGTGCTCTGTATTCAGTCACAGTTTTATTTTTACCACATAGCAGGACTCACAGATTAATGGTGAGTTAACAGCCAGTGATAAGACAGATCAGTGTTCAGCTGGAGGTATTTACCCGCCCTGATGATGCCCAACAGAAGGCATTCATACGGATGGATCATTAACAGCTGTGTGGTTATGAAAGAGGAGACAGTGAGCAGTGCTGACAGATGACTGTTTTGTCATTTACATGTAATTGGTTTTGTCATATGTGAATCTGCATCTGTAGGGTGTTGTGGTAAATTAAAAAACTACGCCCCCCTGTGCTCTAGTTAAAGTAAAGGTTCTTAGTTTTTGAGACATGTCCAGGGCTTCAACCAACAATTATAGGTTTAGTAAATCAGAAAATGAACAGTGAAGACAATGGTGACATGTTTAAGTGGTTGTCTTCCTATAACTACACAAAGATTTTGATAAAGATGTGCGCATTTGGAAATTCTGGGCTGATACTGATGTTATTTAATGTTGTTCACGTTGCCCTTTGTGCCAGGGAAACAAAGAAATCTTCATTTTTGATAATAACTGAACTGTTTTAAAGCCCGTGAGCTCGTACTGAGCTTGAACGCATCATAATGTAACTTAATGCAACCTCGGTTAGTTCGTCCTGGCCATCGGCTGCTAACATAAACTAGCTCTCCTCCTGCCGATTTCAACACTGATTAGTTGTTCGTGATGTAATGTTATCAGGGAAAAAATAGGTTGGGGCTCTGCGTGTCGATATCGAATTTACTGTGACTTGTCATCTTGAAGGCGTCCAGGGCAAGTCCTCTGTACATCGTTTCTAACGTCTACAACAGGGCACGTTAAGTCTGGAGCCCTGCTTTTTAGCCTGCCAAAAACTGATGTGACACAACAGAAAAACATCGGCTACTGCCATCGGTGAATGTCATCTTATTTGCTGATAGGGCAGTGGCAGTTAACAAGGCAAATGTTGTCTGATATTGATGTTAAGCTAATAAATTGATACTTCCTTATATGAAAATCCTGACCTGCTGAGGAGCTGAATCCTGCTAATGTTGGCATTTTTTGCTTTATAATGATGAGTCGATTACCAATATGGTGTGCAATTAATTTCCTATCAGTTGACTGCTACAGCTCCTGATGTGTTGTGATTAAATAGCAACGGGTTCCTGCAACTTCCTACACTGTTTTATGGCAGAGACACCCTGCCTCGCCTGAAATAAAGAGTGCCTCTGCTAGCGTCAGACGACTACTACACTTCGTATAAGTGTAATATTAGGCTAACCAGCATCTAGAAACTACATTGATTGAACAAGATGTGTGAGGATTACATCGTGTTTGTGTTGCAGCAATTAATCAAAAAGAAAACTTTGATATAAGTTAGGAAAATAGGGCACTTAGGCTTCCCTGAGTAGAGTCCAGATATGGGTCTGGAAAAGAAAAGAAGGCAGGCTGGTGTAAATATGCACAAACTGGCCTGAAAAACAGAGAGATTTGAAATGTAAACAGTTCAGGATCTCTCTTTATTAATCACAGTTGTCAGTCTTGATTATCATCTTCCTCCACAGTCGTATCGCATCCACACCTTGATGGACTCAAACCACAGATGGATGCCACGCCATGCTCCTCTGCAATCATTAATCACTTTTAAAACTGCGGCATACTGTACGCGATGATGGACGCTCAGCTGTGTTGCCTCAGATAGCTTGTAAAAGGCTTTCACTGTCTGCTAGTGCTGTCCACATCCTCAGGCAGCAGGATGACGTGAGTGTGTGTGTGTGTTTGTACTGAAGGCCGAGTGTGTCCTGGTGCCTCTCCTCCTCCTCTGTCCGCTGTGTTACATACAAGGCCTGCTGGTGGACATACTGTATGACTGCCTGTGTGACTCTGACAGAGCATTAGAGATGCAGCCAGCATAGAGTACAGCCTGCAGCGTCTCATTCATGTCTTATTACATAACCATTTCTGCTAGAGTCGTAATTTATTTCTTCACAGGCCTTTGTGAGTTAGTGCGGACTGGGGCAGGACTTCAGTGTCTCCAGTTATTGTGGCTTACATGCTAACTTATGTGACAGTTAACGACACAGAGTAAGAAAATAAGTCGATTGACACTCAAAATGAGCTTCTGGGTGTGGCTCAGAAAAGTGTGACTTCTGCTGCGGCTTGTTTTTTTTTGTTGTTGTCTGCTCGTTAGAAGTTTTTTAGACGTAATCAGCAGCACACACACAGCAGTGGACATTTCCTCGGCTTCCTCCCACTGCGGCGACGCCTCGCAGCCGCAGCTCCCATTGTTGTGGGTAGACTGGTGTGTGTGAGTGTGATGGTCCGTTGGCAGGTAGGAAGGCGGTGCGTTTGTGGACTGTAACCAGGCCTCAGCCTAAATAGTCTCGCATGCTGGGAAAATGAGGCCGGCTACTGCGGCTGCACAGGTTTGTTGTGAGACTGTGGATAAAATGCTGGAGGCTAAAGAAATAGGTTTGTGGGGATGTTTTTTTGTTTTATTTTGTTTTGTTTTCATGAAGTCAGAAAAATAAAAATGTCTATAATAAAAAAAATCAAAATTAAACTCCCTGTTATTGAAAATAAGCGATGAAATAACATTTCTTGATAATGATTGATAATTTATCTGATAATTTCACATTGTATCTGATCATTTGTAAATTATATTTAGTCATATTGTCTTATTTACACACTTTGAAGCTCCAAACATTCAGAGGGTCATAAAAAGCCTTCAATCTCAAGTAATAAAACTTGAACGCGCTAGTTTTGTCAATAGAAATCAAGTTCAAGGGGTAAACAGAAGTCTTGTATTTGTTTTTACATGAATATCGCCTGATTTATAAGAACTGAATATCATACGTTATCCCACAGAAACCCACATCAGTTGACATCCAGTTTCAGTTCTGTATACCTGTCAGTACTCTGTGGCTAATCACTCCGCCCTCGGTGAACTGAGCGCTCTCTAAACGCACGTCTAATGTGATTGTGTCAACCGCTCACCCCCCTGTGTGTTTCTCCCAGCAGGGCTATGTCCTCGGCAGCCACCACATCTCCATCTGTGGACAAAGTGGACGGATTTTCACGGAAGTCTGTCAGGAAGGCCAAGCAGAAGCGGTCGCAGAGCTCGTCCCAGTTCCGCTCTCAGGGCAAACCCATAGAGCTCACGCCCTTGCCACTGCTCAAGGGTAAGAGGGTGTGTGTGTGTGTGTGTGTGTGAGAGAGAATGTTGGAGCTAAAGGGGTGACAGCCCAGCCAAACAGTAACATTGAGTAAGTGTTGAAATTTACTTGTAGCTGCAAAAGTTATCATATTCAGTTTATGACGAAGAGTAACTTTAAGTTGGTGTTAACTTGAGTCTTATCCTTGAACATCTACATAAAAATCCAGCCCTAAAATTCCAAATATCATCTTGGAATGATAGAAAATGAAATGTATTAACCTTTTTAAAGACTTGATGATGTTGAAATTTCCTTCAGTTTAAGATGCTGACCACGTGGTCACAGCGTCCCCTGTTTGAGTGCCGCCATGGACATTTATTGTCAAATATTCTGTGTCATTCTGTCCATCGTATTACACAAATACCCCTGAAATCCAGCCTGACGTATGTGGTGTCTTTGGAGACTTACGGATCTTAACTCAAATGAAGTTATTTGGATTTAAAGTCTTTGCTGCATGACATGACTTTATGTGCATGGACCCACCGATCTTGAAGCCGATAGATAACCTCTCCGTTCCTCTGTGTTTGCCTTGTGGTGTCAAGATTCAGCTGTTAATTAGCTTCACCTTTGCTCCTGCTTGTCTTACATTTAAACCACGCACTCAGAGTGTGTTTGTCTCCCAAGCGCCTCTCTGCACAGAGATGCCGTGTCGAAATTTTGAGCCCCAGAAAGTCTTATGAAACTGGTGCAACGGTGACCAGAGCTGCTAAACTTGAGCCAGTTATTTTCCTGCCTTGCCCGTTTTTAGAGTCGAGCTGTGTCTGAATGCTGTTGTTGTTTCCATGCCTGCTCCTCTGTCTGTCTGTCTGTGTCTCTGTGTGTGTGTGTGTGTGTGTGTGTGTGTGTGTGTGTGTGTGTGTGTGTGTTAGCTACGTGCCTAGACAGGTAGATCATCATGATGATCGCACAGGGCAGGTCAGTGCTGCTCTCTGCCTTTGTCATTGAGAGAATGTCTTCAGTCTTCTTATTCTCCGATTGTAAATGTTCAGAGAATTTTTTTATGTTTTTATTGTTTTAAATCAATTTTACCTACAAACCTCGTGTCCCTGTGAGTCATCACCTCTGTTACAGCGTGTCTGTATCTTCTCAGATTTTAAAGGGTCGTCAAATACCAACGATTTTGGGTTGGTCGTTCAGTCTTCCCAGTCAACCTGGGAATGAGACTCATCAGTCAACTATCTTTCTGCAGAGTTACATACTGAACACTTAAAGTTTTTCTATGCAGGAATGTCAGTTACTGTTTGTGAACACACTCGCTAGCAAAAGTAAAAGTAAAAGCCAACCCCAGATTCACTCTCGATTGGCATTTTGTCTCTTTAGTACTACGTCTTCGGATGCCTGCTGCTTGCAGTGTGGCACCTGGTTGCTACCTTTTTATAAAGTCCCGACCTCACCTGAGTGCTGTGGGGTTTACACCCATTAATGTCCTGAACTACCACACACTTATAGCAGGACTTCTGTATGAGTCTTTATGTTGTTCTTCAGGAAAATCCTACATAGTATACCTTTAAATAATGCTCAGATTTTATGATAAGCTAAAGCTTTCCAGTATTTGACCTGGATAAAAGCCAAAAGCCAAACATAATGTGTGTGAGAGAACATGTATTTTGGTGGCTTCTTTCCTGTTAATCCTCATGTGACCTCTTTGAGTCATCTTACAACCCCTTGGGAAGTTCCCGACCCTCAAATTTTTCAATAAATGTATTTGTGATGCTTAATTATTAGGGACTGGAAATGAGTAACCTTCTGACGTGATACTGTATTGTCTCTAAAGAATGCCATTGTGTCACTAAGCAGTGGAACGTATTGATATGTGCATATCACACCGCAGCTCAAAGTGAATTGTGCGATGCGTGGTATGCACTTGGGCGTAGTAAAACACAATGAGACACCTCGTCCACGTTTTGTAAACACAACAGTGGTGTGGTGTGGTGTTGACAGCAGGAATGCTGCTACACAGAAACCAGACAGAGCCGTCACCTGTCGAGAGTTTTAATGGAAAACCACTTTCTGGTTCCTCTGCAGGGCGGGGCTTGTAATCAGGACAGGAAGGGAACCCTGAGCCCTCCCTGTGTTTGTATGTTAAAATGTGTCTGTGTGGTGTGTGGTGTGTGGTGTGTGCGAGTGTGCGTTCATGCTCCACTTACACTGGCTGTCCTTATGTAAACATCTACATGCTACAGGCACACAGCAACACACCTGACCTGCGGGCTCCAACACAGACTTATTCCAGGAGGAGTACGCACTGTTTGACAACGAAGCAAAAACCCAAACATCAGCTTTTTTTAGTAGTTTCTAAGAAATACAGAAGGTTCCTAGAGAGCATATTGTCTCATTTCCCTTTTGTGAAACAGCAGTAACTCCACCTGGATGATGACTATGTTATTATAGAGAATAATATAAAAAAAATGTAAATTATTCTTTAAATACCATGATCACAGTTGTGAAAATTATTTTTATTGCACTTTGATATATTTTAATATCTCTCAATGCAGCGTTATTCAAGTAGAAGCAGTAAAAAAATGTCGTTGCATTTTATTGAAATTGCATGCTTAAATATCGGACAAAATTCACACCAGTAATTACGTCTTTACGGCTTTGGCAAGATATGCACAGAATGTGTGATTTCCCTTGTTTGTTTTCAAATCACATTTTCTCCAAATACAAAATGAAGATCCACTTTTAGTGTATGAATCATTTCAGACTCAGGAGATACATTTTTCTTTCACGGTGTTGGATATTTTTTTATCTTGTTATCTGAGATTGCAGTTTTTATTTTAGCCAAATGGTGCATGTTAGGACGGTCGCTTTTTTATTTGAAATTAAGGCTACTGTTTGAATTTAAGAAAAAATTATTTGATCTGTGATGATCTGTCTGAATTCAAAATTCAGCGTATGATTGCAACAGGCCGTGCTCTGTACTCCAGCTGGATATGTTCACAGAATACTCTGATTTGATTTTTCGCGCTGACAACAGTTGTCAGCGCGAAATGCAGGAATCTAGGGAGCCGTGAACGGATGAATCGTGACACTGAACAATTTGAGATAATGAGTGGAAGTATTTACACTTTTTTAAACGTAAAAGGAAGGCTTTTGATGCCTGACATTGCATATACTTTACTGTAGCATCACCACAACAACAAGTGTAAAGTCATCTGTTAGTATCCTGATTATCAGGCTGTTTTCTCTTTAAATTAATGAACAAATAGTGGATGTCAATGGTGATTCAGAGGTTTTGGGCCAGGCTTAAATTCTTACCTTGTGACTCAAGTAATGTCTTACTCATCTTTACTTGATATTGTTTATTTTTGAAGAAGTATTGGTATGTTTAAAGCTGGGATTTTGTTGGGATTTTCATGGGAATTTTGAATAGCAAACAGTTGAGGATCTCCAATTTAATTGACAGCTTATTGTAGCTCTGCTGACACGACGTTAAAATATATTCTCTGTTCTCTTGTTACAGTTCAGTTGTGTATTTGTACAGTGAGTTTGCGATCAACAGGTGCCATGCTGGATGTGTAAAACAGACAGAATGTACCTTGGGTTCTTGTCATAGTTTATTTTCGTGTCTTTTATAGTCGTACTGTATTTACCCGCAGCTCGGTGACTGAGCCGGCACATGGTCGGCCTTTTTCAGCAGCTCCCTGCTTCAGTTTCACACGTTCACTTCACATTCACACGGCTCCACACATTTCTCACCTCTTCAGTACAATCACAGTCTGCTGCTCCTGACCGCCGAGCAGCTCCACTGGAACTCTTGCTTTTTCACCCGCGCACTCGATTCAGGAGGTGGCTTGCTTACAACGGAGTCGGGCGGAATTAGAAACACAGTCGGACATGTCACCGATAACAGATTTCATTGCTAGGTGTTATTCCCTGTCCTGCTGCTCCTGTACTGTACTCTGTTCCTGCAGAGACATACTGTACAATATGAAGCAAACACAGTCACGTGTTTTTTAGTCATGGTTTGAGTGGAGCAGTGATGTGTAGCTCTGTTTGAGGGTGGTGCAAAGCCTCTGTAAGGACAGGTAGTGTAGCCGCTGGTGGAGGGTCTGTGCAGAGCAGATAATGAGGGTGTTTCCATTATTTCCCGCTATATGTATTAATCTGCATGATCATGATTAGCTGAGAGTGGAGGAGTCTGCAGTTTGGTTCCCAGACTATGATTGAGATTCATGGAGGACTTTGTTGAGAGACTCTCTGGTATGACCTGGTGTCACCACTGTACTGTGGCTGGCGATCATTTGAATCTTTACATGCAGTGCCTGAGTTTCATCTCTGGTACCAATATGAGCATTTTAATTTAATTCCACTTTCTTTGTGTGCAAGAACTTAACCTGAATCAAAGACGGTGTAAAACAATACAAATTCAGTTTTAAATCAAGACCTGTTGGTTTAAAGAATAAGTAAAGCACATTACAAATCTTACCAGACATTTGAGGCAAGCTTTTAAGTATTTGAGGTACTATGTTCTAAAGAGACATTTTGATCAATACCAAAAAAATATTTAGGCATTCTAATGACTACCTTCTTATTCTTACCAAGCATTAGAAAGTTAGCTAACAGGTATAAGCCTCAGTGGGGCTGTGTTGGGAAATAAATTGGGCTGCCCCTTGAAGGTCAGAGATTTGAATCATTAGTTGTAGACCCCTTAGTCAACTGAAATTGCTTCAAGTCAAGCACTCTTATTGTTTTCATGCTAGTCAGTGTGCAGGGGACCAAAACGTCCTTAGAGTTAGCTGCACAGTGAGCGCTCTTGACTTTCACGCTACTCTTTGGTACAGTCAGCTTCGGACAAGATGCAACAGCACAGAGGAGGAGAAACGTTTAACGGGAATGCCCTGAAATAACATGATCTTCACTCTTCTGCTGAGAAGTGGTGGATATACAGCGCACAACACGTTAATACGACAGTCTCTGGCTTTTGTTTGATAGCTTGTATCTGCAAAAAATGTTGCACCGTTCCG